TTAAAAATATTTTAATATTTTCAAAATTTAGACTAAATTACCGTTCAAAGTAAAAAACACCATTATCTTTAATAAATAAATAATGTACCCATCATTCACAAAGATCATGATTAAAAATCCCATGGTAAAATATAGGGTAAAAAAAAAATTGATATCAAAGAGATTGTCAAGCTATCAAATGGAATACTAATTAAGAAAATAGAAAGAAATACTAAGATATTAAAGTTTGTACGTGCTTATTGTGAAAGTAATTAATTTTTTTTTAAAATCTTTTTGAGTTGAGTGTGAAAGAAATATAGGGTTAAAAAAATATGATACCAATGAAATTGTCAAGTTATTAGATGGAATACCAATTAAAAAAATAGAAAGAAATACGAAGGAATTAAAGCTTGTATTGTGCTTATTGTGAAAGAGATTTTTCTAAAAAAAAATTTTCGAGTCAAATGAGAAAGAAAACCTTGAAAACATTAGCTTTAAATCAATAAAATTTGTATTTAGAAACTATTTACTTAAATCCTAAATGTTTTCTCTATATTTAAATGTTTATTGTCATTCAAACTCTAAAATTAAATCTTAATAGTAAAATTTAAGGGACCATATTTACAATTTTTCCAAAGTTTAGGGGGTGGCTGCTCCCCTTGTCTAGTTTTAACTCTATCCCTAGATTTCTATGGGATCTAATAATTAAAGTTGTATGGTCTAAAAAAATTCAAACTACATGACAATTTTTCATTTTAAATATATATTTTCTTTAATCCAAACTAGGTGTAGTCTTATGAAAATATTTATTTTTTTAGTGAATAAAATTCATTAAAAATATTTTAATATTTTTAAAAGTCAAACTAAATTACAGTTTGGACTAAAACACTATTATCTTTATTAAATAAATAAACAATGTACCCATCATTCACAAAGAGCATGATTAAAAATCCAATCGGAAAATATAGGGTAAAGAAATACATAATACCAAATAGATTGTCAAGTTATTAAATGGAATACTAATTAAGAAAATAGAAAGAAATACCAAGGACTACTAATTAAGAAAATAGAAAGAAACACCAAGGAATTAAAGCTTGTATTGTGTTTATTGTGAAAGAGATTTTTTTTTTAATTTTTTTTTTAGTCAAATGAAAAAGAGAATTTTAAAAAATTTAATTCCAAATCAATGAAAATTGTGTTTAGACACTCTTTACCTAAATTTGAGTTGTTTTCTTTATATGTAAATGTTTCTTGCCATTCAAACTCTAAAATTAAATCTTGGTAGATAAAATTCAAGTGACCATATTTACAAATTTTCAAAAGTTTAAGAGGGCGGCTGCTCCACTTGCCTAGTACTTGCTTTGCTTTGGCTGTCTCCCTTATCCAATAATTAAAGTTGTATCCAATCCCCTCATGTGGCCCAGTAGTGGCTATGCTGTCTATCTGGCAATAGATGGAATGCACTCAGTTCTAAGGTTTGACCCTCCTACAAAACAATAGATACTAACACTTAATTTAACTATTTATTCTTATAAAAAAAAAATTAAAGTTGTATAGTTTGAAAAAAATTTGAATTGCACAATACTTTTTGTTTTAAATATAAAAACATTTTTTTGTTCAAACTATGTGTAATCCTATGAAAATATTTTTATTTTTAGTGAATAAAATTTATTAAAAATATTTTAATATTTTCAAATTTCAAACTGAATAAAAAATTAGACTAAAAAACACCATTATCTTTAATAAATAAATAAACAATGTATTGGTCATTCACATAGATCATGATTAAAAATCCAATCGGTGAAATATAGGGTAAAAAAATATGATACCAAAGAGATTGTCAAGTTATAAGATGGAATATTAATTAAGAAAATAAAAAGAAATATTAAGAAATTAAAGCTTGTATTGTACTTATTGTGAAAGAGATTTTTTTTTTAATCTTTTAGAGTCAAATGAGAAAGAGAATCTTAAAAACTTTAATTCCAAATCAATGAAATCTGCATTTAAAAACTATTTTCCTAAATCCTAAATATTTTTTCCTATATTTAAATCTTTTGTTATTCAAGCTCTAAAATTAAATCTTAATAAATAAAACTTAAGGGACCATATTTATAATTTTTCAAAAGTTTACGGGGACAGCTACTCGTCTAATCTAGCACTAGCTCCGTCTGGTTCTTTCCTCTATTATATTCTATGATTCAAATTGTATCATCTGAAACAACCTAAATTATATAATTTTTTTTTATTTTAAATATACAAATGTTTTCCTTTTTGTCCAAACCATATGTAGTCTTGCGAAAAAATATTTATTTTATTAAATAAAATTTATTTAAAATATTTTAATATTTTAATATTTTAAATTAAATTACAAATCAGACTAAAAAATGTCATTATCTTTAATAAATAATAAATTATGTCCCGGTCAATATTAACTTTTATGGCATGTGAAATGAACTTTGACATTTCAAAAGTATTTAAGTAATATAAAGTACATTGTTCTTTTTGTTTTTTTTTTTTTTGAGAAATAAAGTACATTGTTTTTGCATTTCTTTTGTTGTAGTTTATTGGTGATCACTACAACTCAAAAGGGTTGTCGATAGTTCATTGGTAACTATTGCAGATTAAAAAGGCTACCGATGAATTGTAGCCCAACCAGTGGTCAAACCTTATCAAAAAGTAAAAAACTAAGTTCTAACTTCTAATTCATAATTCTTAAGTCTTAACCATTGCCTTTTCGAAAAAAAGAAAAAAGAAAAAAGAGTACATTGTTCTTATTATCTCAGTCTGCTAAACTTGCATTAATCGTCACCCTCATTGCATGTACCCGTACATAGTCACAAGTACATTAAGTGTCACTCAGTGCCACAGTTACCACACTTTTTAAATCATTCTTCTTTCGATGGGCCACTTTTTAAATTATTGGGAACTAATCTGAAGTAAAATATTTGTTAATTTGCTCTCTTAATTACTTAATTATTTATGGTATAGGGGTTTGCCGGGTAGGTTGTCCCTACTAATTAAAATGTTGAGGTAATTAAAAATTATAAAATATTATTTTTAAAATATTAATTTAATTTAATTATAAAAATAAAGAATAATTATAATTAATAATTGATTAAATAATTAATATTTATTAGTTAATAAATTAAAATAAGTCAATAAATTAATAATTTAAAATACTATGTAGGGAAAAAAATTAAAAAATTAGTAATCTTAATATTTTTTATGGTGATAATAAATACATCTAATTTAAAAATATAAGTTAAAAGTGTAATAAATAGTTTTTTATAATTAATTTATATAATTTCAAATGTTAAATCCACTAATAAATAAATATTACCTTTTATGTTATGTTTAGGATTCAAATCTTGTTACTAGCATCTAAGTCAAATAATTTTTTTAAATGCACTAAATTGATGTGGGAGTGTACTTTTAATATTGTTTTTAAAAGAATTAATTTTAAAATGTGTAAAAACTTGCATGAGAACATTTTAATTGTAAATAAAAAAATAATTTACATGAAAAAAACATAAAAATTAATCTTTATTTGAACACTATTAATTTTTGTATGAATATTTTTAATTACTCGGTTAATTAAATTTAAGTTAGTATTTATATTTTTTTATATAAATTAATTAAAAAATACAATAAATATATTATTAAGATGTAAGTTAAAAAAACGTAATAGTAAACACATTATCCAAAAGTCGAGGCGTGCGTGGACCACACATAACATGGTTCTGGCTGTGACGTAACAAGAAACTTGTATTGGGGGGCAAAATTTTTAGGAGTTTTATGTCATCTTAATGCTAAGTCTTAGACAATTAAGTACATGATAAGCATTTGGGCTTGGCCCAATGACAACTAGTTAGCAAGTTACGTTTAATTGTATTTCTTTTCCCTAAATTACGGTTTAAATTCGATTTTTTTGTAAAATTGTTTAAAAAAAAATTAAGTACATGATAAAATGATAAAAATATCCTTATTTAAACAACTTGAGCATTAATAAAAATGAGTCACGGAAATCTATTTATTAATTGAAAAATGATTTGTATACTATTTGGTTCAACACATTTTACAACACACTTATTAAAAAATTATTATTTTTAAATTTTAATTCATAACGAGAAAATTTTCAAAAGTAAATTTTAATGGTTGAACTGGAATGTATTGTATAGTGTCTTGAATCAGAGAATGTAACAATCATTGTCCTTATTAATTACAAAATATATGCTAAATCTTAGAGCAATTTCTCTTCAATATAAACAATTAAAATGTTTTAAAAGAAATTTATTTTTCATTTTGTTTCAAAACATTTTTTTCCATCTATAAAAAGAACATTTTTTTTTTCAAAATTATCAAAATTAATTGCAATTCTATTTAGGATCGGATGGGGAATTCATTGTAAATATAAATGGTAATTAAGATCACAAGATTTTACATCATGAAATTTTTATAAGTTAATAATTAATTTATATAAGTATATAAATTATATAAATAACTTGAAATAAACGTTAATGTAATATAAATTAAGAATTTTTTAGTTCATTAAACAAGTTTAAATAATGAAAAAAAGAAGAAGAAAAACTCCAGATTCTTTAATTAAGATAAAATACTTTGAAATAAGAATTTAAATATAAAAATTATAAAAGTTAAAGTTAAAGAACTAAATTTTCATTTTTAAAATTTTAGGGGTTGGGCACTCTAGGTCCCCCTTGGTCACCTTTTCTGTAGTTCTGAGTAAGTATATATATGAGATTATACACAGTGTGATTTATGTGATATGTCTATGAAAAAAATTATAATATCTGAAGCATGAGCAAAAATTAGCTCATGGACATGGATCGTCCAAATTAAAAAAAAAAA